TCCCGCTAACTTTTTAGCAGCTGCACCCGGAGGCTTACTAGAGGGTTTCTGGGTACTCAGCTGGCTCTGGCGCTCGTTCCAGTTAGCATTAACATGTTTCTCTTCTCGTGAGCCTGGTTGGCCTGACGTGATTGGTTCAGTAGAATAATCTGACAACTTATTGTACATGAGTTCAGAGTACCATCAATATTGTGTAATAAATTTATTATAAAACATAGTTCACACATGCATCAATATTGTGTAATAAATTTATTATAAACATAGTTCACACATGCCTAGGTTGGATCAGGGCACAGTTCTTTTATCAGACAATCACATTTTAATAACCTCTGGCTGATATCTTATCACTTCGGCAGGATGAATGAATAAGGACAGACTTTTAGACCCTGATGCAAGTTTTTTTGCTGGCGGTAAAAGGGTTATAAATTCTATCACTAAAGCATATTTAAGAATTATGTTATTCCAAAAGAACATTTTCTTGTTAAGGTTGTATCGTGACATGTCACGTGATGATGATACGTTGTGTTAATGACAGCTGACAAGGGGCGTGTCCGAAGTTCTTCGTAACGTTACATGTATTACTTTACATTAATCTAAAATGCATCGGAGGTAAAACAAGTCAACAATCATTACGGCACAACTATAACAGAAATATCAAATTGGCCATCTATATACAGCACGTTTGTCTCCTCCCCACGTTGACACCTACAATGGCGAATCCGGCCAAGTTCCAATGAGCGGGCTGGAGTGCTGCCAACTGTCTTCCGAGGTTTTGTGTACACTGACAGTCGATTAGTCCGGGGTTCTAACCGGGCTAGGCTGAAAATTGGCACTGAAGGTTCAGTAGCAAAGCTCATGACTAGAACGGAATCCACACTGTGTTTTAATTGGAAAGCTCAATTTTTCACGTGTGTAATGTTGCCAGCAGTTCCAAAGTTTGTAAATCCGGCAGGTCACACTTTCTGGCAGTCACAGATAGCGGATTTCTTGCACCCTTGCAATTTTCGTATCATGTTTGATTGTTTTGAGAATGGTCCGTCTCTTCGTAATCCTTTGGAATTCTTAGTATAAAGAGCCAAAGAATTGAATCTTGAGTCGCATAAGTCATGAGTGTGGGTAATGCTTACTCTTCAAGCAGAGTTTGGGTTTGGGCTTATTTTTGGCGTGTTTTCAGGCTTTTTTTATTGGGCTTTCTTTTTTGCAATTTTTTTACGCCAACCCCGTTGTCTCGCTGAGATTTGCACTGACTGAACCAGCAGAACAGACCTGGCCTTCAGCACTCCGCTTGCTTTTCTAATCCCTATAATAGCCCTGCGGCCTTGCCTGTAGGCACCAGTTCCCAAGCCATGGGAGGGAAATGGTAGCGTTTTAACAACCGCCTCGCCACGGCAATACTGATGAAGTCATCAAAAACTCATGATCCATACTGTGCTGTGTTTGTGAGACTACCGCACGTTTTGGCTCTATTTTCCTTGTCACTGAATGGTTTGCAGCTGTTTTATCCGTATTTGCACATTACGACAGTATTATGTCTACAGAAGGTTACCAGGTTGGCTCAATGCCACACCCAGTGTCCGACGTGTGTTTGCCAGATGGCTTTATTGCAACAGGTCAGTGTCATTCTCGGTCGCGGGCTGAGAATATCTGACTTCTATCTGAGACATGTAAGGTGCACTACGTAGATATAGTCCGACTGGATAAAAATCGACGTTTTCCATTTCTGGATAATCAATTGGCCACAAAGCCACCGCACGAACTTTACGGACTGGGCCAAAATAGCAAAGAAGGAATGGGCAGCCGAGGGTACACGTTCTCACTTCCACGAAGGGCCAGCTTGTAGTAGGTTTCAAAAATGCTCGATGTGTACATGCGAGCGGGTCACCCACACGTAGAGGTATGGTCATCTGAGAAACCGACCTGGCACACCCTTTGGATGCTTGTGTCTACTCATAAACAGAGTTACATGGTTATCTGACTTTGCATTATTTCCTTCTTACTGACATAACTGCCCAACCACTGCACTCTACTTCATATGTATTTAAAATCAATTGAGTGAAGAGAGAGTAAACATTCATGACCCGATCATCAGTTTAGGCACAACCCACAGTGGGCACAAGTTATTATTACCCGACAGTGTGTGCCAAGACAAGTTTAAGTAAGAGAGATATCCGTTACTGTTCGTTTTTCAGAAGACCGTCAGTCAAGGTGAAAGGGACCGGTGAGAGTGACGTAGTCGTTTATTCATTGAAAGGTCAAGTAACAGCAAGCACGGCGCTCTCTGCAAATCTGCCGTCCACTCAGTCTAGAGCATTGGATGTTGAAAACCGATGCCTGTATTTTAAAACGTATTCCGTGCGTATCGGAGTTCTAACAACCTTATCCCGTCCCCTCGATCCAGTTTTTATATGCTGATGGCATTCAACATTTCTAAACAAACTCAAAAGAAATTGGTAACTTGCCACACATGCTTAGGCTCATGGCATCCTGTCTGTCTGAAGAAAACAACTTTTATCTTCCTCACGATCAGCGGTCGCCTCTCTGAGGATGTTCATGTTTTCAACTGCCCTTATTGACAGCTTCCTGCCGGATCCGTGTGAACTTGACTGTTCCCAGGCTCCTGAAATGCAGGCTCTCATTGCTTCTCCCGCCTCGACTAAAGCCACGGTTGCATCCAGTCCCACATGTACCCTAAAATCCGTTTGTAACATGTTGTTGGTCTTTTGCTTCTACAAATACAATACAATGGATTCCCCGTCTTCACCAACTCTCACAGAAAAACAATAGCTGTCAAATTCCACCTAGCGATGCGTTAAAAGACGTAGCACAGGATGTTAGATTTAGCAAGAAATCTTATTGTAACAGTTTGGTGTCAGTGGAACTAGGTAGCCAACGCCAGTTGCAGGGAGCATCATGGACGGCACAGACGGCTGATGAGGCGGAACTTCGTACAAGCAGAAAGCAGTCTCCTGCCATTATTGTCATCATATTCACGCTTTCAAGGATGTAGGAGCCGCTCTTGTCAGCTGTTCCCACTCATTACCGCATGTGTGCTGACCACGAGCACCATTCAGCTCCGCCTCATCGCACTGATACGTACGGAAATGAGGATGATGGGGGACGAAAGCTGACGCTGATTTGGACTAATGACGTTGGATGAGATGCACAGCATCCGCTGCCACGTACTTTGAACTATGTGATTATGTCGGATCAATGACAGATTTGGTGGGTCCGGGGACAACGTTTTACGTTTCATGTGGCAGATAACTTGAATCCGCGCTGTCCCTGGTGCTGACGGTCCTTCCGTAATCAGTCCGCCAGACTCAAGAGTCAGTCACATACATGTACGATATGGTACCATATGTCGTGTCACGGTGGTGGAAAATCTTAAAGGTGTCTGTTGTGTTCATCTTTTGAGCTATTACGTCAAAGATTATCAGAAGACAGCTGGTCATTGTTGCATTATTTCAACCAGTTTCTATGTTACCTGACAGACATGCAAATATAGTCTGTGATTATTCATTTTTTTAAACGTTCAATGTCTCTAATAAAACAGCTGGGACAAAGGGCCACATATGATGGACAATTTCAATTTGTGTACACCATTCTCATAAAATGTGATTATATTTACACACTGTATTTTAACAATATGACCAATTAAAGGCAACCAAAATATGGTAGGCTATATGACAGGAATCAGTGGGTGCATGGTGCAAACATTTGATGCAATTCTTTTATACCTTTGAAAACAGCTTATTTTTACAACACGTTTCTCAAATTCATTGACATTAATTAGTGAATTTAATGAACAGAAACACCTAGCGGTATATTACAGCCATTGTACTAGTACATTATGACTTACTACTACCAGGCAGCTTATGAAGATTTTGCTTCAATCACTCCTCCTGTGAAATAACAATTACAGGTTACCAAAGACGAAAACAAAATAATTGGCCATAAAATGGTTTCTTATCAAAACAAAGCCTTTCCACATTAACCTTCAGTTGAACTCATGTACATGTGTACCTACAAAGGGACTGTTCACTAAAACATATCATGGTAGGGGTTTAGACATTTTCCATCTTAGAGGCAACATTTGGGTGCTATGAAAAATATGAAGCAGCTAGAGCAATGGCCTCAAACACATTCCCAATGAAAATCTGCTCAAGTAACGACTGCACACAGTGCAAAATATAAATATGAAAGTAATTTATATCTACTTAATTCACCTTTAAGTGGCCATTTTTTTGCTAGAAACAGGCCACATAAGAAGGTTTATGTTTCCACACATATCTTGATGTCTTCTTTGGCCTTGAGAAGTAAGAGTGCAGAGGAGTGTGTACATAAATAACATGTATAGAGAATGGCCCCTATAACAGATGTTGTTTTTCACATATAAGTAATCTACAGAGACATCCATACTGATGGTTATTTCCACAGGGCTAGACTGGAATTACATGCTGACAACGTGAGCTATGGTCTAATCTGTCCTCCCAGCTTTAAAATACAAGATATACAATCAAGTGTTATCTACACAAGAAAGGGAGGAACTATATGCAAACAGTCTTGTAAGTTTTATCAATACTTATAATAATCACCACTGATATTAAGTTGAATTAAAACACAGCCAAATATCACGACAAACCATTTCATTCATGATTGATTTACTTCTCAAGACAACATCAATGATAAAACAAGGTCAGCATGAAAGTTCATCTGAGTTGGTAAATTACATTATGAAAAACTTTTCTCCAACTCAAAATTTGACTCACCAGAAATTTTCGACCGAATCACTCAGTCTTCCTCAGCTATCTGACCCAAATGCTGTGGACACGTGATTTTTCCCACGTGTGACGTCAGCAAAGGGTCAAAGGTTGTCTGAAGTCGATATCGCCCCCCCGTCCCGGTTGAGCGATGGTTGAAGTGCCCAACCTTTGACCCTTTGCTGACGTCACACGTGGGAAAAATCATGTGTCCACAGCATTTGGGTCAGATAGCTGAGGAAGACTGAGTGATTCGGTCGAAAATTTCTGGTGAGTCAAATTTTGAGTTGGAGAAAAGTTTAAGTTTTTCATAATGATAAAACAAGGTGCCTCCTGGCACACAGAGTAGGAATGCTCAGAGGTGTCAATAGCTTTTCTCTGTGGATAGAACTTTACATAATGGCATAATTACAGCCTATCTCATGACTTTTGGGTAATGTCAACATCGCAATATTTACAACACAAGCAGATAATAGCTTTTGCTTTGATGGCATATACAACTATATTACATAATCATTTTAGACAGCAACTATATTTACACACTTCCTGTTAACAAAATATTTCAACCTACAATGATCTACACATGCCACACCATTTGTCACATAACAAATAAGAACAAACACAATTGCAGTGATGGTTTAAATTACTTGTTTATAGATGAATTCTTGAGAGCCTTACTGTGTCACTTTTTGTTGTATGAAAACCAAGAAGTACTACCGGGCAGTCTTGTGCTTTACCAGCTGCATAGTTGGTTGTTAAGTTTGCTGACAGCTAGATGAGTTTTTTAAAGGAACACCTGCTATTTCTAGACTGTTCCAATCAAGTAAAACTGTGACAGTCTTAATTCAAGTTTGTTACAAGATATGAGTTAGATTTTCAGTCCTGCCAAGATTTTCAATAACTGCCACTTACATTCATTTTAGCTATTGATCCCAGGGGACTACACTAATAGTAGACTAATTGTAGAACAGTTTGTAAGTCCTGTATAGTACTGTGTGTGAAATATGGAACAGTTGAATTGACCTCAAAACAAATACATTGTACCAAGGACATTATACTACTTCTGTATAATGTCCTTGATTGTACCATTCAGAAATAAGATCTAAACCAGCACAGGGATTCACATAATAATAATATTCTATCTGGTAACTCACAAGTGCAGACAATCATTGACTTACATGTATAAAGGGGGCAATTTGTGACTTCTGTAATTTCTCTTTCAAGTACATGTGTACCTCACAATGATGACAACTAAAAGCATAGGTGCACATTAATCGCATGGATTGGCCATTTCCTTAAAAGGTCAGAGTTATCAGCACCATTGTGCACATTTTGACCCACGCAAGTACCAACACTTAAAGGTTTTTAGATGCGTATTGTTTCCTTGTCACATGTATGTATTTACTCTTCTAAAATCACACTTTGCATGTCAGGCGGTACTGCTGCTTCCTGATTAGCTACAGTGTGAAATTTATCCCTGCATGATGCCAGAATCCCTTACATAAACTAATGTTGGCGAAGAAGGAGGAACTCTTAACAGAGCCTAAACCCAATAAAATCGAAAAAAAGAAGCGTCCAGTCCATTAAATTACCTTCCTGCCATGGTAATCATCTTTCTATAGAGATGGACGCATTCTTAGGAGATGACACATCAGTCTGTTACCTAGCAACAGCCTCCAGTTGTGGCAGGCAGGGAGCTGTAATGACGTCCTGAGCAGTGGATATGACAGGCTGGTCTGTGAAGGGTCATAGAAGTCAGCTTTAATAATTATTCCTTTAAGCAAGCAGACTGATCAAAATCAGCTTATGTTTTAGAGACGAAAGAGTACAAAAGTGGAGGATCACCCATCCCTGTGTATGAACTGGGTCTTGTTATAAAAAGTAATAGTCTGACGTTGTTGTGTGAGAGACTGAGAGTTATGGAGTTTCAATGGTTAACAAGTGGATCATTTGTCACTATGCTCTCCCACTCCACCGTGCACTTACATGAGGAAGATGTACAAACTCGAAACTGTGAACTCAGACTCTGCAGTCTGCACTTTGTCCTGAACCACCAATTTTGTATTGTCACATGTCCTTGTCAGAGGCTTAGATGTCATCTTTCTCAGATTGATTGCTGAAATTCCTCAAACATTTGTGGCTAGTTTGCTTTATCACCATTGTCAACTATACAATAGTCATTGAATATGCTGGAATGGCAGATAAATTTCCAATTCCAAGTATGTTACGGTACACCAAATAGAGGGCACATAAGTTGAAATGTAGAAAAGCAGACTTGCCATCACCATTACCAAATTCCTACCATTGTACCTGACGTGTTCAATCCACATGGCAGGTGGTGGTGACAAAGGCATCACAATACTGTACGGCCCATCAGTGAAACACTTGAGCCACCCACACACATGGGCTCTTACTATAATTCACCACACTTTTGAAATAGAGGCCCAGATTTAGAGGGAAATCCTTTGACTACTTAATGAAGCTAATTCTCTTGAATCAGTATTCACAGGGTTAAAATAAACACATGAATGTAGGATGAACAATTCAAATACAATATGTTATATACCAGGGCCCTGCCTTTATTCTTTGAAGGTTTTGCACCAATGGTGTGACCACTGGTGTCTGTAGGCTAGAATTTTCTGTCATAACATTAGGCATTTTCTGCAAAAGGTTTGTCAGGCCATTTCCTCTTGCATGAAATAGACCTGCTGTTACTGACAGCACAAACCAGGTTTGTGCCTATTCAAGATGAAATTTGTTACATAAGGCTTCAATTCGGGGTCTTCAAAACCATAATTATCTCTACCTTTTCAATAATTTGATACACCAGAGCCTGCCTTTGACCACTTAAGCCAACAGGAAAGCCTCAGGGTGACAGTGTATCCACCACCAACCAAATTATCTGCACTCTATAGACATCAAATGCTGCAGGAATAAAAGGCTCCAGATTTGTTAAAACCAAGCACTCGCCGACAATCAAGTTACATGGCAGCATCTCTGTGAGAAGAAAGTAGTTTATCTATAGTACATGAAAAATCTTAATTTGGTTATACAAGTTTCCTCATAAACTTTTATTTCATTATCATCCTGCAATTGCAATGAATCATACTTTTGAGTCATACTTTCATACCATAAGTGAATCTGGTGAGAATGAGTTGATCTCATCCTGCCAGATGCAGAGATCACAAGAGATAAAACCACCCAAGCCTGAGAAAACAATGGTCTTTTCAACTAAAAGCCTTCTTCCCTGTGCCAATGGCATAAAATAAAATATAGCTTCCAAGAGAAATAACAACTCTATTAAGTCCATCCCTGTAATCCTGTCTATATCTAATGGCTTGGCAATTTTCTCCCCAATATTGTGTTATATAACTCTCCATCCTTCAAAAAAAAAAAAATCAATAGACTTCCACTCAGGGCCCATGGTTTCTGGTCTTGATTCTGATGTTAGTGCAGAGACCACTACTCTAAAGTGAAGTGGCCATTGGATTTTTCCCTGCTAAGCATGGGCAACAGATAGTCACTCAGCATCTCTTACAAACCATGCATCAGCATCAGCTCTTTATCAAAATAAGTAATAACAATTACTTCCTTACACTGGCCTTGAATTTGCAACCTAAAGGTACCAATTTCACGAAATCACTCTGTACTACTTAAATCACTGGCTAGATTGTGTGTCATTACTGATTGTGGACAGTAAAGCAACAATCTCTTACTGCAGAGTAATTACTAAAAGTAAACTCCCAACACTTTCTTTTGTAGCAATGCACAATTCCCCAATCCTAAGCTTGCTGTCCTTGGTACTGTTACAGAGCCTAGCATTATACATGATTCATAGACCAAACTGGGCCATCACTAACCTCCCTCTTCTACATGTAGCCTGTGCTATCTGGTCACCAGAATGTAACTTGAGAGTAACCATATATTTTATCTACTGATGAATCCAAGGAATGGCTAATTTTCACTAGTTTTATGATCTACATGCCTGCCATTACTACACTCTTCAAGATTAAGCTCTTAAAAATGACAAAAAAGACTGTTCCATTTGATTCCATAAAACTCTACTCTTTTCTCATTCTTGCACGATAAGATCAGAAAATAGATACTATTATAAAGCTTTTATGGACATGGACACTTTGTTACATGAAAACCCAATACAGCAGAGGCTATCTTTATCTGGCATCTCCCTCTTTACATATACATACATGTATTACCATTTTTTTCTTAAATGTCCCAAAAGGTTAATCTTACTCCAGACTTAAGAGCACCAGGATGCATCAGGTTTTCATGGATTATCTGACACAAGACAAACAGGATTAAGTGGGGCCTCCTAGATAGTGACCAGCCCCAGGTTCCAGGCAGATAATGCACAGGCATGGTCCATTAACTCATGACCCTGTCAAGTCCCCTGGTAGAACAGTAGCTGTCTGACAAAAGCTCCAACTAAACAGTACAGTTTGAAATGTACTGGGAAATACTAGCCACCATTTCCCACTGTGCAAGGCAGTTTGTGGCCCTCTGGAACTGTGTTCTTACATGTAGGAGCTCTGAAAACATTAGTTTTTATAAAGCAGTTTTAAATTGTGAAATGTTCTGCCTGTTGACATGTAGGTACATGTACATGTATGATTGTGTAAGAATACTGTGAAAACTAGAGATGAAGAAGACCATTCATTATCATATGGTCCCTTGTTTATGAGAAGTGTACACTGTACATTTATACCTAATTGTAAAACACACAAGGCTATAAACATGAGCTGATGATTCACACAATCCGTGGACTTGTGATGTTGCCTGGAGCTGAGTGTGCCTGTGCAGGTGTAGGTGCCGTGGCAGGTCTCCTGGTGGAGGGGACAGTGGCTGGGCGTGGCCTCCTCCCATCCCTGCTGCCTCCAACCACCTCAGAACACTCCTCCTGCCACTGGTCAATCAGAGCCCAGATTTGGGAATCCACCTCTGTATGGGCCTTACTCTGTTGGAATAAACAGAGTAGTCACTGTTAAGCATAATCAACTCCAGACTGTCTTATCACATGTCATCCGTTACACTTTAAATTTGATATAGACTAAGGTGTTTCAACTAAAAGCAAAGGGGGAAATACAATGATCATAAAGTATCCACTAACATATATTGTCAGGCTTTAGTGTACTGACTTAGTAGTGTACTAGCATTAAGTTGGAGCCATTCATGGACAGCCAAAGGTTTAACTGGTCCATTACTGACAGCTTCTTGATATTGAGCCATTAAAGAACTGAAATTTCCCAACCCATTAGTGTCCTTATCTTGCCATGAATCTCCTCTACTTGCTAGATTCATGCCACATTATCACCTGGGTCAATCACACCTCCTGTCCTCATGGGCACAAACAGATCATACATGATACATGTATATGTAGCTCAAGCTGATGCATCATAAAATCATTTTGCAGTTGTATCTCATAATACTCATTTACTTCTATAGAATTACTCTTACCATGCTCTTTCTGCCCTGTGGGGTATTTTTGCACTAAGCCAGACAAATTTGATAAGTTGTGTTTGAGTACTTTTCTGGCCCCTATTTAAGGTCAACAAAGTAATGAAGGTAGATTGAAGGCCCTGTTGAAAAACCCAATAACCTGTTTGGACAGAACCTGTTGTAAATACATAAAATCATCCCTCACTGTCCGGGTGCATGTGAGGGCTTCCATATGGGAATAAGTTTTCAATCAATGATTTGTTGTGAAAAAGCCTGATTTCTTTTTAAAACTGCAAACTTGGCATTATTTGTATTCTGAAACACATGCCAAAACACTTATAAATGTTAGGGATTGAATACATGTGCCCCTGCTTTCCACAGTATGGAGTAATACATTGTGTAGAGATAAGGGCCTGTCACATTCACAACTTTAGATAAGATTGGGTGGTGCTACTTCACCTGAACCAATAAAATCTGCCCTGATGAACACGTACATGTATTGTATATGTCTACAGCAGGTGGGACTGTTATGTTACTTACCACAATCAGGTGACACTTCTGGACCAAATTCTAAACAAGGCTCAGTGAAAAGAGAATTCAGCTGTTCTATTGTTCCACTGGTAATGTAAAATCTAAGCTTCTGACCATCTAAGTACAACCACTGCTGCACCTGAGCGCACACAACATTGATTTTATTACCTTGACAATTGACCTGGCAGTAAAACAGATGGTCCTGCAAGCTTGCAGTGTGATAGAAGGCTCATATAATACTTGAAGAAAGATGCCCTCATCCTCTCAGTGTTGGAGCGAACATTTTAACCTTCATCATTCTATTGGTGACATATGGTGCCTAGTTTTACTACTGATAAATGTTGGGAAAGTTAACTTTCTGTTTTGCGACAGGTGGTCAATATAGTTGAGATGGTCCATTCTCTCAGAAAACTGCTGGAATCTCAAAAAATGCTGAAGTCTGTTGGGAAGGTTGGGATTCTACCTTCATGAGCATGTGTATACATGTACACAAGTTAAATTACTTTTCCAAAAGAACTAAGCTTTGAAAATTTGTATCCCACTATGGGGTTCTGTACACTGAAATCCTTAGAGTTTAAGAAACACTTCATTCAATAAGTATGAGTTTCATTTTAAAAATGCCTGTAAAATCTACTCTTCAAAGCAACATAATATAAATCACAATTCACATTGTGCAGGTTTGTACCTAGGTAACAATATGATTCATGTCATAAGTAGGAGGCCAAGGACGTCTTCCATCCTGCTAATGCATACTTATTCCACACACTACCAAAACAAGATCCCACCACGACATCCAGCTTGTACTTACAGTACCAAAGGATTTCCAAATATGGATTTGAGAACAGAGGCTACAAAAGTAGTGATATTTGATGGATGGCCAGTATTTGGTTTTGTCAGGTTACAACCAACGTAAAGGTGTCTGTATTGATTCCATGAATGGTTTGCAGCTGGTGGTTTTCAGTTTACTGTATGATGCCAGCAGCAAAAGTTGATAAATGGTTAGAATGTGGTCTTCTTCTATAGAACAGGACTTACTATCCTATCAGTTCAGAACCAGGATAAGGCATGGCTATTCACATTACACATTACAAGTTTGTACCACTCTAGTCCTGAATGGATCATTTCACACCAACAGGTAGCACCTGACACCCCATTTTATGTGCTGTGATGTTGTTGGAATGGTAATGACCTTGGAGGCTTGACTGGTAGCTGTAAGAGGAGCCGGTGCTTTTGTGCCTGTTGTGAAGGTAGCAGGTGTGTCTGTGGTGATTAACAGTGTGGGAATTACATAACATCCTGTGGTAACAGTAGTGTTTCACCAGGGATGGATTGTACTTCATGGTACATTATGCATGTGTTCCCTCAGTGAAAGGCCTCTGCTACCCTATAATATAAACTTCAAGCAGACTGAAAAGCAGAGTTTCTTGACACATTACTAATGCATAGAAATTGTAGACTGAAATGTCTGAATGTGAATCTTCAGAAATCAACAATTGATACCAACAATAACAAAACAGTGTGGAGTGTAGCAAACCTGTTTCAGTGTATGTGGCATGCATACATTTTGCTTATAGACATTATGGTGAAACCAATGAACAATGTGTAAAATTCCTTGCCAATTCCTTGGGATAAAAGGGTTTGAGCCTGTCCTCACAATGGAAAATTGGAAAATTATTGTGGAAGGCTGAAATATTCCAGATGCATTCTGTCCTGGAATTATCATGGCCTAATTGTCTCCCTCAACAAAGAGTGGCCTAAGACCATCATTTAGGAGGGGAGGCCACACAATGCCACAATACTGACAGCTGGTTTCACAGAATGGCAAAAATCCCCTCATAGAACTGATGTGAGGAGCAACAGGTGTGTTGGAGGAAGACTAATGATAGAAGATGGTCATGATTATATTATCCTCAAATCTGTAGGATGTACAAGGTTGCTCTGGTGCCTAGATCTAGGTACTATGATGTCTTACCAGCTTTCAGGTGTAGAAAAAGCAGACATACTTTCAAAGGCTTTGCGTGGTAGTATTTACTTCCTTACTAAGAGTGCACATATATAAGCATCAGTACCCATCAAGAGTAGCCAGACAACCTCCTGGTGAGTGAAAAAATCATACATTGTCATCAGTTGCAAGAGTGTCTGAATTTAAAAGTATAAAAATAGTGCACTTGTAACTGGGTCTTTTACTCTCTCTCATCAGTGGTGGCAAGGATGGTAAGAGAAATTGGATATCTCTCAACAGTGTCATTTTTGGTTTTGATAAATTGGCCTGTTTTATTTAGACTGGAGTAGCCCTGAGCAGGTTACAAATTAAATACCATTCCTATCAGAGATAATAGGAAATAGGAAGTCTAAAATTTCCCCCTACAGTATCTTTTAAGTAAAAAAAATTCCATCATTTCCTATGTTGTGGAAGAGTAGGAGGAAATCAAATTACAGGTGAGCAAAGCAGGAAATATGACTAATGTGACAGGGACAGCTTGTGAAACATCAGATTAACATTAATCCTATGGTATATATGGCTATGTTACATGAACAAGAACAAAATGTGATGTTAACAAAATACTTTGTCAGCTGAATATAACATTGTTCATATGGCATGGGCTGTGCATTCGATACCGTGAATGCTTTCAAAAATTGGAATGATGGATTTGGCAGTTATAATTGATGTTCTTACAATTTTTATTTATGGACACCAAATTTTGGCACATTTTGCATTGAAATAGAATCTTGGGTTGCTATAATATAAATAGAATACAGCACAGTGTTTTCCGCATCTCCCTCAGTCATCGGGCAATCCAACTCACGGCTGGGGTGGTACCTAGGGTGATACCCCGTGTAGGAATACAACATATAGTATTCCATATGTAACATACTAATGACTACCAGAGTGAGTTATAACTGCTTTGCTCGTACTTCAAACATGCCAGAAGACAGTATTAAAGATTGCTTATTTACGGTTAAAGGAACAGCATGGGAATTGATAGTGAATTAGGTCGTATATAAAAGAATTTTCAACTGAAAGGCTCCTAGAGGCATTAGACTTGTTGGTGCCACCAAACTCTCTTAATAATTCGCTTAATTCCCTTATTCAGTGGGTGAAGATGTAAGATTTACAATTGCTGGAAAATATCTAGCTAGACACCATGTCTCACATTGTCCTCTCAAGGTCTTTTGGCCTGGGGGATTTTCTTGTTTCTTCTGATAAAAGATGCCTTCATGTTTGTAATATATTTCAACACTGCTGTTTCTCCATGGTAATCTTCATTGTAAATATTTAGCCCCCTTTTGTCCAATAAAACACTCTTTAAATCCAAGTCAGTTTTACAAATCTTTTCCCAATTGTACAGCTGCTCAAAACATGCAATACAAATCTAAAAGAGATACGCCGTCATACAGAACACGCTTTTATCATTCTACATTACTTGAACACTGTTTGATTGACCATGACATTGCTCAATAAAGAGCTTGCTTTTAAAAAATGATGATGTATTGGTAAGCTCTAATGTGGTAGAGAAAGACACACTTGCAGAAATGAAAGGACATGAGACAAAAACTAGTGAATAAAACATTTTTGATACACCAAACCTGGATATGTAGACCTGTGTTATCTGTGAACAGCCACTATCAGATCTTAAAAATTCCTTTTGGGGCACTAATAATGACATTGGGTTTGCCTGAATACCAGATATAAATTGCAGAAATGAAAGAGTACATCCACTTAGTACTCATGAAATGGGGGAGGGGCTACCTTTTGATTTGATACAAGTTTATCACTCTTCACAGAAGAACAAGATTACAATGCAGAAAGGCCTGTACTTCATAGAATGTATCTACCTGCAATGTCTGTTTCCCTAGACAATACCAAATTGATAACCTGGTTATCAGGATCTCCTTATTAATTAACCACCTGCTCAATTTTCAAGATTAATGATGGCTTCATTACTTTTGTCACATCACATACCATGTATTATTGAAAAGTTCAAG